CCGAACCCGTGGCCTTGGTGTTATCAGCACCGCACTCTCCCGCGTGAGCCACGGGCCGGCCCAGCATCTACTTGAGATCCAACTGAAATCTTTCCTCTAGCTTTATCTTCAAAGAGGCCAACAGATTCCCCAAATATGACGAGAGTTCCCTCCCTGGCTCCTCTGGGACTCTTATTCTGGTGAGGGGATTTGATAACAATCAGCCCTGCCAGATCTGGGCTCACTGCCCTTCTGGCCTCACCTTTGAACCACTTGGAGTCGTGTTTCACGGTGCGCAGGGTGGGCCGGTCCCCCAGGCTGCGGTAGATGACGGCGTCGATGGCTAGGAAGTCAGTAACTGTGGCTGTGAAGAGCATTCCGTCTGGATTGGGGGTGGGGTGGGGGGAGGAAAGCAGGTGAGAGATGAGATCAGAGAGGCCAGGGGCTCGGCGGGTCAAAACTCGATCTCCAGCTGGCCGGCTAGCTCAGTTGGTTAGAGTGCAGTGTTATAACACACCAAGGGCGAGGGTTCAGATCCTCATATAGCCGGCCATGAAAAAAACAACTCAATCTTCCAGGACTGAGCCTAAGGGAGCCCCCGTCTCCAGGCTGAGCTCCAACCCCATCCAAACCCCAACTCCATCCAAGCCCTGACCCTAACTGAGCCCCTGACCCCAGCTGGTCACCAACTCCAGGCAAGCACTGACCTGAGCTGAGCCCCAAACCTGGGCTGAGATTCCACCCATTTCACAGCTGGACAAATGGTCACCCTGTTGCCTTCTATATGATCTGGACTCCAAGAGTGGAAAATGCCAGACCTTGCCCAGAGGGTGGGGGATACTCACCAGAGAAGAGGGCGACATTGGCATGTTTGGGGTCATATGGACAGCGGGCCATGCCACTGATGTTGTCCCCAAGAGGCTGCAGTGTGTCCATCTGCAGGGGGAACAGAGCCTGAGTGACCAATACCGTGGTAGCCCCTAGCTCCTCCAGCCCCCCACTCCAGGGCAGATCCTGGCTCCACCATGAATCACTGTGTGACCATGGCCAGCTACTTAACCTCTCTGGGCCTCAGTTAACTGATCTGTTAATGGGTCTAAGAGTTGAACCTCATTAGTCCTATAACTGGCTCTCACAGCTTAAGTAGCTACGGCTTCCCTGACCCCTATACAGGCCTCCTTTGGAAACTACTGACCCCTCTTGAGCCTGCGGGGAGGAGGCAGGAGGGCATTTTCAGTAAGGCTTCCTGTAGGAGGTGACCTGGCCTGGAGAAAGGCCATGGCCAGGGGAGGGCAGGTGAGCAGAGGCCTGGAGCGCGGACCTGGGGTGGGCAGGGCATCTGAACGCCGCGGACTCACGCTGTAGTTGGCGCACACCGGGTTGAAGGCGTTGGAGCCGCACACGAAGAGCGTGGACTCGTCCCGAAGCAGCAGCACCTTTACGAAGTTTCGACACTCGCCCTGGAGGGGGTGGGTGGGAGTCAGTGTGGGCGTGGCCCGGGTGTGGGCGTGGCCTGGGCTGGGGCCGCTTTGGGGGCGTGGCCACTACATAGGACTGGCTGGGGACCAAGGGAGCGACCAAGACAACGAAATACTTTGCATCAGCTGTACAGGCAAAGCCAGGGCTGTGGGCGTGGCCGTGACGAAGACCACTTTGGGGGCGTGGCCAGGCTCTAGGCATAACCATGGCAACACCAGGGTCCTAACTGGGAAGGCGGGAGGAGGATTCGCTCCGGGCGTGGCCAGGGCTGATTGGGGCGTGGCGGGGGCGTGGCCAGGGCCCACTCACCTCCTGCTTGCCTTTCATGCGACACACGTCTATGTCACTGGGGTTGGAGCGCCAAGTCAGCTTCTGTGGGCGGAGACAGCTGGTGAGGGGAGTGGGGTCCCCAACAGCCCTAAAAATGCCCGCCGGGCAGGGCCGAATCCTCCTGGCTCCCCAGCGCAGCATCAGGTCCCCCCAGCTGCTGTCCCCCCCTCCGGCCTGCGCCCTTCCCTCACCCGCTGGTACCGCAGGTCCGAGGACGTGGGGGGCTCCAGCTCCACGCGGTACAGGTAGTCCCTGGGGGGAGGGCAGAGTTAGGGAACTGGGGGCCTTCACCAATCCTGCCCGCTAATACCCAGGACGCGGCCCTGCTCCAGGTCACTGGTGACCTCGTGTTAGGTCCAGCGGTCACTCCACCCTCCTATCCTCCCCAAAGCATCTGCCTCGGCTGGTTCCCTCCCTCCCACCATCCTCACTGGGATCCCCGGACGCCACGCTCGCCTGGCTTCCCTCCGGTCTCTCCATGGCCCTGCTGGGGTCGCCGGCCCGGGGCTGGGTCCTCTTCCCTTCTCCACCCACGGCCCTCCCGGGCAGCCTCGTCCACTCTCAGGGCTCTAAACCCCGTCTACCCTCCCGACGATGCCACCATCCTGTCTCCAGCCTGAGCTCCAGACTCGGGGGCCCTCGATGGCTCCGGGTGGGGGGCTGACGAGCTCTCACACTCAACACGGCCACACTGGGCCTAACCGGTCCCCCAAACCTGCTTCTCCAAGTCCACCATCTCAGCTGAGGGTAGCTCCAGCCCTCCAAGGGCTCAGACCACACCTTGGGAGGGACCCTCAAATCCTCTTCCCCTCCCATCCTCCATCCAACCAGAAGCCAGTACTGTTGGCTCTGCCTGCAGACTCCATCCCGAATGTGCCCACGTCTCCCCTCCATGGATTCCACCTGGACCAGGCCTGTCGCCTCGATCCTGGTCCCTGCTCTGGCCCTTGCTCCCCAAAGTCTGTCCTCACAGCAGCCACCAGAGGGCGCCTGTGAGCACCTGAGTCAGGTCCCGTCCCTCCTCTGCCCACAGCCCTCCATGGCTCCCACCTTCCTCGGGGTTAGCCTGTCTTCTCTGTGGCCCGCCAGGCCCTGCACGACCTGCCCCCAGCACCTCCCCGCCTCCCCCCTCCCACTCTCCCCCTCGCTCACTCTGCTCCAGCCACACGGGCCTCCTTGCTGTTCCTCCAAACACCAGGCATGGTCCTGCCTCAGGACCTTTGCACAGGCTGTTCCCTCTGCCTGGAATATCCTTTAGCAGATTTCCCCACAGCTGGCTCATCATTCAGGTCTCAACTCAAATGTCACCTCCTCAGAGAAACCCTCCAGACCACCCCATGGCATCTTTCACAGTTTGTAATTACACATTCATGTGTGTAGTTATTTCATCCCTGACTGGACCCCTGCTCCCACAGGGTGCCCCTCCAACACTCCTTATAGGCACCCAGTGAACTTTGACCCAACAGCAATCCCCACCTAGTAATAGTCGGCTCCAGGCTCCAACCACACAGCCTTCAGCACCCAGAGACACACATTTACACCCCAGCCAAGCAACAGGTCATTATGCAACTTCTCAAACATGTCATCACCTGCTCCCCACACCCCGCCTCCGCCAAACAGTCCCCCATACCTGTCCCCAATGAACAACGTCCTGTTGACCCGCAGGACCCGCTGGATGTTGAGGTCGTCAGCGCCCTCTGCGGGGGCCAGGCGTCCAGGTCCGCTGCCCACGAACACAGGATAGTGGTTCAGATCTGGGGGAGCCGTGAGGAAGGGTATGAGTCAGGGCCAGAGCTGAGGAGGGGGTGGCCCGAGGTCATGCCCCTTCTAGTGGTGGCTCCTGGCCCGCTGAGCCCCCCGGGTGGTGCAGCCGACGCAGCTGGGGGAACAAGACCCTCCCTAGGGACTTTACCTCCCCCCACCACCCCATCCCCACTCACAGTCCCTGGGAGCCACGCTGAGCGGCGGCGGCTCTTCAGGGAAGAGGCCGTGGGTGCCCCCCAGCAGCAGCAGCAAGAGCAGCAGGGCCAGGCGGGGAGGGGACGCTCTCCAGGTCCACATGGCGAGGGTCGGGCAGGTGACACCTGCAGACGAGGGGCGGGGAGGTGAGCGCGGGGCTTGCAGTTCCGAAAATAGCCGGCAGGTGGCACACGCGAGCTTCCGCCTGGCTCGTCAATTCCCAGAAAAGTTCCCCACTGGGGATAATAATAAAAAATAATGACAATAATGGCAATAATAATAATAATACCTAGCACTTATTTAATTATCAGAACAACTTTATGACCACATGTAAGTGAAAACCCAGGAAACGACTTCCAACAAAAATGCATTCGTGATTAAAAACTAACAATAATGATCATTATAATAATAGATACATCTTAAAGCTTATTGCTAAAAATTCAACCTCAAAACACATATTTAAGAATTCTTAGAATGAAAACACAAAAATCTTAAACTCAAAGGCTCAAAAATAAAAACCAAGGGCTCTTGGAATTTTTTTTTTTTTGTCTTTTGTCTTTTTCCGTGTCCGGCAACGGATTGCAACCCTCAGTGTTGCTTCCCGCGCCTCGCTCAGCCAGTGAGCGGGAACCGGTCCGTATGTGGGATCCGAACCCTCGGGCGGGACGCCGCCGCGCTTCCCAAGCGGCGCACTATCCAGTGCACCACCGGGCTGGCCCAAGGGCTCTTGGAATTTTATAAACCACTGGGAACTGCGGTGATTTAGAATCTCAGAATACTCCAGCAGGCCAGAGGCCTCGGTGGCCTTGGTACACCTGACTCCCTCCCCAAGTTCAGCCTTTCTGTCCTCTGCTTGAATACCTCTGTGACAGGTGCCTCACTACCTCTCGAGGGAGCCTGCTTTCTGCTCCGGCTCCAGGTAACTTTGTAGAACCTTCCAGGTGTGTGGAGTGGAGACCCGCCCCCCAGCTCCTCTCAGTCATGAAACGTTAGCGGAATTCACCCTTTGGAACTATGCCTAAAGGCCACAATTCAGGGCACCCCCTACCAGAAAGGGGTGTAGTCCAGGTCCTGGAGTCCCCGAATGAGAATCCCAGCAGCCTCGTCCTTCTGGCAAGTCTCCGGCAGGCCCCGGGCCTCAGTTTCCCCATCTGAGCAGCAGTGACATCTCCCAGCCCTTCCCTGGCCTTGTGGCTTGGGGATTCCAAGCCCCTGGAGGTGAAGGTGATTTGGGAACATCGGCCCGGGAGTGCCGGCCTCTGAACATTCAGGGCCAAAAAACAGGAAGGCCTTGCGTGGACCAGAAGGGTTTCCTCCCATGACCCCGAGCTTCCAGGATTTGTGAGTCAGCGGACGCTCGGATCCCACGTGTGCTTGGGACATGGCCCTGCTTCCTTAAGAGTTTCCTTCCCCGGCTCCACCCCTGCTCTGCAGCCATGGTTCCCAGTGACACCCCTGAGTCTAAGCCCCAGCCTCTCCCTGGCACTCAAGGTCCCTGACCACCCACCCCACTGCTGGCTGCCCCACCCTCGTGCTACTGGCCCTCCTGACCCCTTCCCCAGAACACCTGCCTGAGGCTCTGGCTGCCATGTGCCTTTTTTTTTACATTGCGGTAAAATACACACATCATAAAACATTCTAACCATTTTTTAAGTGCACAGCTCAGCGGCATGAAGCACATTCACGTGGTTGTGCAGCCATCACCACCGTCGTCTCCAGAACTTTCTCATCTTCCCAAACTGAAACTCTGTCCCCATGAAACACTCACTCCCCATCCCCCTCCCCAGCCCCTGGCACCCCCCATTCTACTTTCTGTCTCTGTGGATCTGATGACCTAGGGACCTCCTATGAGTGGAATCACACAGTGTTTGTCCCTGTGTGACTGGCTTATGTCACTGAGCACAATG